TTTCATGGACCACCGTTTTTCTTTCTTACGGTGTGTGATAGGCATCAGTGACTGTGAAATACTCGGAAGGAGCTAATCTTACACTTTCGATAGACTGATTCATCAGATACCTGAACTCGATAGCATTTACTGAGAAGAAAAGCCACATACGCCCACCCTCAGCAAACCCAACTCATCGTCTCTGTTCTGCAGAGAAGCGCTTGCCCTGCTGCTGAGCTGAGGTGCGTCCTGATTGTTTCCATTGCCCTGCACTGCAGTGTCCCACAGAGCTGGAAGAAAAATCAGAGTACTAACAAGAGAGAAATGAGCTGCATTTGGGGCCAAAGGCTATGCCTCCTTGACTGACGGTCACTTGTTCACACGCTCAACGGGAAGGAGAGGAGGGTTGAAAGCCACAACAAACATTAAAAATAGCACAGAAGTCAGTCCCCCCCACCCCGTTTCCCTTAGAGAAAAATATAAAAGCAGCAGAGCTGAAGTTTTGTGCTCTGACCCTGAGGGGGGCAGCACAGAGGCTCCAGAATATAGGCCAGTTATTGAAGCAGAGAATGAGGAGCAGCAGGAGAAAATATAATATCATTTGCATAGACAGACTTTGGCATCTTCACACAAAGGATCACCAAATGCTTTGCAAGGGAGAGAAGACTGAGCACAGTTGTGGGCAGTTGCCCGTTTACAGGCAGAAGCAGAGAACCGGGAGGTGAATATAGAGTCAGGTAAAAAGAACAGAATGCTGAAATGTAAAAATGTATAACTCGGTTAAAAGATGAATAAAGGGTATATAATAGATAACTAGCTGCTAGTAGGGAGAGGGTAGTAACACAGCTAGAGCAGGAATGATGCAATTTAACTGAGCGAAGAAGAAGATCAGAAGCATAATCCTCACAGTGAGTTCTATTAGGCTGTGCTACCACCATCTGAGCCATCTGAAATTAGACAGGACAAAGCAATACACTGTAGAGAACAATCTTATATTGGCTGAGGGCTGGACGAGGTCACTTCCCAGCTGAACTGCGTGTATTATTTAGAAGCAGCAACGTTGAAAGTAAGGATTTTCCCCAGATTATTTGTAACTGGGGTGAATGGAAAGATGCAGTAATGGGGAAGGGGCAAATGGGATTTAAATCTCAGTGGCATGGTAGGGTTTATGGTAAGATTTAAAGACAGGATGTGACTTAGTAGCTCAGAGGAAGGGGAAAAGTTCCAAAGAGATGAGTCAGTGCAAATGAAAGAGGGTCTGTTTGGTGTGTGGAGCACCACCAGGGGAAGCCAAGATGGGAGAGGTGGAATGGAACAAGCTGTTAGAGGAATAGATGGATAGACGACTGGAACGTGACCCTGAAGAATTTTAAAAGAATAAAATGACAGGGGGAGGGAAGTGAGCTGCTGGGCCCAATGTAGGTTGGAAAAAGGAAACACGTGTGAGAGACCAAAAATAGCTACAGATATAGGTAGCGTGCTGTGGAAACAGATTGCTTGCACCAGATGTCAGCTGAAACCGGCGTTAGCTTTTCTCAGTAAAAATATCCCTGTGAGGTGGGAAAGTATTAGCCCCATTTTACAGAGGGAGAAAACAAAGGCAGGAAGGCTAAAGGAGGTTAAAGGCAATAAGGGATTCTGTACAGGGTTGGATTAGAATATAGGGGCCCCTTGCTTTCAATCCTGTGCTTCGTTACCTAGAACAGGCTGCTTCTCATGTTAGCAAGTTATGCCGCTTGTGATCAGAGGCTGCACTGGCTCAACTGCAATGAGCCAGTATCCCCCTAAAAGTTGCCTGACAATGGTGCTGGGAGAAAAAGCACTTTTTGAGAAAGGGGCGAGTAAATTAATGTCTAAAAAAGAGTATTCACCCAAGGTGGTGAATTTGGGCTTTGCAAAGCATGTGCAAGCCAGTCGCGTTATTTATAAATGATTTGATATTTGGTAACATTCAAAGCACATCCCAAGTGAACCAAGGTCAGTCTCTGGAATATCTGCACAGTGTCTGAATGGGTCATCCAGGTAGTTCCATGGGCATCCGAAGAAGTGGGTTGTAGCCCACGAAAGCTTATGCTCTAATAAATTTGTTAGTCTCTAAGGTGCCACAAGTACTCCTGTTCTTTTTGCGGATACAGACTAACACGGCTGCTACTCTGTAACACCATTCAGATCATCTTTGTAAATTCAGGAATGCTAACAGGCTCAAATACAGCTGAAATGAACCAAATCCCCTAGATTCTTAAGTTTTTTCCCCATCTTTCACCAGCTCTAATAATAAAAATATACATGTATAAATAATCATTTGGATGTGGATGTAGCCCTTTTGATCCCAAAGGATCCTAAAGCATTCCCTAAACCACGGATGCATTCCCTCAGCTTCCTCTGGGACAAAGAGCAGCAGCCCAGAGCACAGCAACACAGAAGCAGAGCGAGAAAATGTTGGCTGTGGACACTGCATCACTCCCTCTACTTTTACAGAGAGGCCATGAGATCGTTAATGTCCATGCAGATCAAACAGGACCTCGGGTTTGAAGGTCTCATTTGAATGAGCTCCTAGAAAGCTAGAGGGCTGAGCTGATCCACCTGGGATTTGACTTCGTGTTTCCATTGAATTCCGGGTGCTTCGATTCCAATGCGTAGACCAGTAAGCCATTCCCTCAGGCGTACTGTATCCACTAACAGCTTTAAAACAAAGACAGCAACAAGTTGTTTAAGAGAAACTGATGGCGGAGAGTGGCGGATGAGAAAGCAATTTGACATAGATAAAGAACCAAAACAAATTTATGTCATAACTGGTTTGCTGACCACTGGTTATTTGCAAGACACATACTAGATAGGGGATGGTGGTGCATTCAGGGGATGGATTACGCTGGAAGTAGCCACCCGTGAAAGTGAATATCGAAGATGGCCTATATTCTATGAGGTAAACTAATGACACAGATGCTATCGCTGCTGGGAAGATGAAAGTAAGACATGAGCTAGGGGAAAACAAAAGCAAAAACACAGCCACCCCCCCCACACAGACGCGAGTAATAGCAAAACCCCTGCTGACATAGCTATAATGTTGCTATGGGTTATTTTAAATAAAAGAGCCCTTTAAGTTATGGTATAATTCCACTCATTGCCCACAAAACCACTTCCTTTCCTATGAAAGGGGCAACAATGACAAAAATGTCAATTCTCCTTCAGCTTTGAAAACTTAAGGCAGACGGCTGGGGCTGGTGTCTGTGTCAGACAAGTATGAAGTCAGGAGTTTTAACATTCTGTCTCCTCTGCTTTCAGTTGGAAGCCCTCTGTGGTAAGTGGCATTTGGGATTTTGCTTCTTACAATAATCATTCATAAGGCATTTAAGATACACAATGACCAGATGTGTAAATGGGGAATTACTCAGGATGGGGTTGGGGGAACAGAAACAGTTAAGAAAAATAGTTGCCAAGAGGAAAGATGTCAGTCTCAGCCTTACCACCACCACAGAGGTTGGTGCCAGCACAGAACATTCGCGCTGTCTTTGAGACACACAAAAATATGCACTTTGGCTGTTTACATTCTTCACTCATCTGCTTGGAGTGATCTTTCAGCTGTAGCTATTGTAGTGCTTTAGCCATCTTCCCTTATGGAGCAGAATCTAATCTATTGGAAATGTAAAAGTGCACCAAGTGCCTGTGTAAGGAGATCCATACTGAGCTATTGATTTCAAGGAGGAGTCATGTTTGGGAGGGGAATTCTTTTAACTTGGAAAACATATATGGGCTGGAGAAGTGGTTTAGGTCATTTATATTGCAGGCTGGAAATGCAGAGTGATTTACAAGGAGCCATGTCTGATGCCATCGATCTGAAAATGACCATAACACTGACAAGGCATTTTATGGGATTCAGCACCCTATCGCAGCATTGTAGTCTGCAAAGTATAATGCCATAGCTCGCTTCTTTTTAACTTCTCGGAAACCCACCTTCCATTACATACTATTCCAGTGCAGAAATTCAGTCAATATTTGATTAAAATAAGAAATCTCATTAACCTACATACTGTTGTAGGATTTAGTGTGATTTGCCCTAAGTAACAATACTCTGAATTTTGGGATTTGGTGGGTATTATTACTAAACCCCATTTAAATGTGTTCCTTTGAAGGTCATGCCTAGGGCCATTGGAAGTATGTGCTACTGAAATTCCAATGATATAAAGTAGGTTTAAAGTCTCTGTGGAATTTCAGTACTTTCAGGGTTTTATAAAGAAATTAAGCTTTTGTTTAAGTAAAAAAGACTTTCTAGCCCTTCTGATTGTGAAGATACGCTTCAGAATGTTAGCTCAGGTACTGCCGGCATCCAAAGCCTTCAAACAGCAGATTGAGCGCCATGGCAAAACTTCCATTGACTTCAGTAGAGTCAGGATTTCACCCAATATCTCAAGTAGTGAGTGAGCTGGCCCTTGTCTCAATGAGGAGTTAACTTGAAAAGCTATTAATGAAAACCAAACATCAATACTAACCACTTCCATTTTGGCAGAAACATCCAGCTAACATGCTTTATCCAGTGTAGCTGGATTCATTGGAAAGGACATTTCATACAAAAAGAATGAGACTGTAAATGAATGTTCTCTCAGACGCTGGAATTTTTTTGACCCTCAAGCTGGGAATCAGGGGGAAAGGAGGCGCAAAGGGAGGGTAAAGAGGGTGATTTCAAAAGCTCCTCTGAGGGAAAAAATGAAAGCTCTCAGGAAATGTTTTTCTACATTGCTTTCAACATATACCACGGAAATTATTTACTATTATTATTATTATTATTATTATTATTATTAAAATGGACAAGATGGGGTGAAATAAGGGGCTGTTTGATTTAGAGTATGTCAACAAGGATGCAAAGAATTTATGGAATATGTTATCCTATAAAATACTATTTCCAAGCATTTTAGCAGAATTTCAGTAGGAAAAACGTAGTAGCATTTTAACAAAAATGCCTGCAGATTTGCAGGCCCTAGCCGTGATCTATGGATATATTTCCAATCAGAAACTGTGCCATGTAAATTAAAATTTATTTTAGTCTTTGCAACTTTGTGGTATAATCTTGATAAAGAAATCACTATGAGAATGTGCAGCCTCATGCTCCAGTCCCTACCCAGATGGCTATTGACTTCATTTAAATGGAATTTGATCCTGCATAAGGCATGCAGGACCAGGGACTAAATGGAGAAAACGAAAACATCAGGCCCTCAATCTGACGTGAGTTTTTTGTATTTATTCAGTTTACCTTGGTAGGGCTTTACATTGGTCCCTTTTGAATTTCTCCCTCAAACAAATTTCCCTAGGATATTTCTCCACAAAATCTCCAAGAGATTCCATATTAGTAAACTGCCTGTCTAAAGGTCATGGTAACACTGCCATAGGGCTGCAGATCAGACAGCAGTGGGGTTCTGGCTGTGGAAAGTTGTCTATTCTATATTTTTCATGTAGACATTTAAAAAAGTTAACATTTGCCAACTGTTATCGTGGGTTACAATGGAAACCTCCTATTGTCAGTGTAGGGAGAAGCCATGCTCATCTCAGATACTAGAGTGAGGTACTGAATGGCAAATGCTGACATTTTAATAGGGACCACCATAATATTTATCCTATAGCATAGACAGGCAAGTAGTACATCTGTGGCCACCACCTTTTTTCCTGTAGGATATCTCTGCTTTTTGAGTCTGGGCCCTGATTCTACAAAGACTTATGCACACACTTAGCTTCAGCCATGTGAGTAGTTTAACTGAGTTCAGAGGGCATCGGCTTAGAGGGGCTGAACGGGTCAGTGCTACAGTGACTTAAAACTGTTTTTGTTTTCTTTATGCTACTGGAAGAAAAAAATAATCCAAGCTCACCTTCAGCAGCTGAGATTGTGTTTGTGACTTTCATGAGTACGTTACAACTAACATGCGTCTGACGAAGTGGGTATTCACCCACGAAAGCTTATGCTCCAATACATCTATTAGTCTATAAGGTACCACAGGACTCTTTGTTGCTTGTTACAACTAAGGCTCTGTTCTGAGAGTCAAACCACAAAACAAAAACAAAATCCCCTCAAACAGTCCAAGACTATTTCCACCCAGCCATCCCACCCTCAACTCCAAGTTTCAAAATGGGGGTTAAACTTTATTTTATTTTTTAAGTCTGTTATGGCCAGCTGCAATTTTACCTGGGCTGCTTGCAAATGGCATTGAGTCACTGACCAGTCTGAAAGCCAGTAGCAGCTGGTAGCCAGCTGGCAAATAAAACACCTATTGGTTACTGGCCATCCAACCACTACTGGTGCAGAAATCCTTGAGCCCCACCAAAGTGCCCACTGACTCTATTGAAGATGCTCAGGAAGATGTTCTAACTCAGGAAGCATGTTGGCCGGACTGAGTTAGATACAGATTTTAATCTCTGATGGAAGCCAACATAGCTTATGCACGCATGTCTGCACACGCATGCCTGTACCCATCAGCTCCACATTGCAACCAGAAATATAAGTGGCCAGAGTTTCCTTTTCCTTAAACCAGGGTAAACCAAGAGAAACTCCACTTAAGTCCAGAGTTACACCTGCTTGTGTGAGAGTTTAACCCCTTCCACAGGCTTCTTATTTCTATTGCATTACTTCAGCCTGATTTTAATGAAAAAATACAACCTTAAAGATGGCACCATTCCAAATGCTTTAATACAGAAAAGGAAGGGGCCATTTTGCACTCTGTCTAAAAAACAGTGCTTATACACTCCACCCATCACAACATCTACGTGTATGTTAGGGAGCGACATCACAAATGTATCTAGCTAGTTCCTATCCAGGATTGATGGGGTCCCAGAAGTAACATCCTATCTTGGAACAAGGAAAATTTATCCGTGTGGACACACAAATCTCCTTGTCTGCCTCACTCCACAATGATTGATGATAATGAAAAAACTAATGATGTTGTACTGGCCTGTCAGAAGTGTTACCCATTCCAAGTGATTGGATTTTGCCAAGTTGTATCACCTGCTAAAGCTGCACATTTGGGACAGTGAAGACAGCAGAAGCAACCACTAGCTACTGGCAAGAACTCTAAAGGTTCAGAGGTTCGCACAGTTTGGAATTCATTTCCACCCAATACCACCTAGTAGTTAGAAAACAGTATTCACTACAATTTCTATATTAATCATCTTGCAACTTTCAGAGACATTTTTGCAACACTACATGACCATCTCCATTTTGGCAATGAAAAACTCAGCTTTCAGTGGCAAAGCTAACTTGGGCTCATGAAGTATGCTTGTGAAACTGGTGATCTTTTGTTGTTCTCTTATACATCATTAAAACCTCATTCACGGGAGTTGCTCTCTTTACGCTGCGATAATCACAGAATCACTAAGGTAAGGCTGGAAAGGACCTCGAGAGGTCATCTACTCCATGCTGCCATGCTGAGGCAGGACCATGTATACCTAGACCATCCCTGGCAGGAATCTGTCTAACCTGTTCTTAAAACAACCCAATGAGAGGGACTCCCTAACCTCCCTTGGTAACCTAGTCCAATACCTAACTATCCTTATAAATAGAAAGATTTTCCTAATATCTAACCTGACTCTTCCTTGTGGCAGATTTAGCTTATATCTTGTCTACGGAGGGTAGGACAAGGAGCTGCATCCTCCCCCTTGTCATCTTGTCTCAAAACTAAACATGCCCAGTTTTTTGGTCTTTCCTCACAGGTCAGGTTTTCTAAACATTTTATCATTGTTACTGCCCTCTTCTGGACTCTCTCCAATTTGTCCATGTTTCTTAGCGTGTGGCAACCAAAAGTGGACACACTTCTCCAGCTGAGGGCTCAGCAGTGCAGAACAATTACTTCTCATGTCTTAGCACACTCCTTTTAATACACCCCCAGAATATTAGCCATTTCTGCAATTGCATCACATTGTTGACTCATTCAATTTACTCAATTTACAGTTGACTCACTCAACTCCCAGACCCTTTTTTGCAGTACTACAGCCTGGCAGCATTTTCACCTGTTACTCCACAGAAACTGATTATTACATCATATTTACCAAAATGTTTACTCAGTGGAGTGATCTTATCAGTCCTCAGTCTTCTTGGTGGTTACAATTCTGGGCTCAGGAAGATACAAACTATGCTTCAGTTGGCCAAAGTCTCACATGAATTGTATGCTTAATGACCCTCCCCCGCCATTTCTATCGCTGGTCAGCGGCAAGGATGACACCTATGCCCCTCAGCATAAAAGACAGATTACCACCACTTGAACAAAAAGAATAACTTCATTAGCTTGTAGCAAAATTAGCTTGCTATTCTCTATGTGGACCAGCCACTAGGCAGCGTGGAAACAGTGTGCTAAATAAGGTGACCAGATGTCCCGATTTTATAGGGACAGTCCCGATTTTTGGGTCTTTTTCTTATATAGGCTCCTATTACCCCCCACCCTCGTCCCAATTTTTCACACTTGCTGTCTGGTCACCCTAGTGCTACATGGGTTTTTAGGATGAAATTCACTGCTGTGTAAAGCTTGTGGCCCACTTAAGCATACATAATCACATAGTCCCATTGACTTCAGTGGGGCTATTTGTGAAGTGAGATGCTATTCAGCGTTAGAAAGTGTAGCAGAATTTGGCCCTATTTAACCAAAGCAATTGAACCACAAATCTAAAGAGCCCCAGACTACTATTAAATACCCCTCAAAAATATTAGATAAGATTTAAAATACTAGGCAAACACTGTAAGCTTTACACCTGATACACTGTCACATTTTCAACTTTTTTCTTCCCTTCACTGATTTGTCCATGCGCTGCCTAATTTTAAAACTAACTTCAAACTACAGCCCCTACAATTAGACAGTATTTACCAAATCTTCACTTAAAATAATTAACAATAGCACAGCAACTTTTCCCCCCATCAAACTTTACTTAGGAATATGCAAAGCGGCAAGAATTATTTTAATGTTCATCCTTTCTCTTGGTGCTGGCACTTTCTGTGTTTGTTACTTTCTTATACAACAAGTTTTGTTCTGTAGTGAGTATACTGGAGCTGACATCTATACTCCACCTGGGCATTTTACCTATCTGTCCTATCACCACAGCAGTGGGAATGGGACACCAATATCTTGACTGTCCGCATACATGGCAATAGCCCTGAAAGTGGTACAGACTATTAGAACTATCATAACATCAGACCAGGGTAACTGACTGGGCATAGTGGACCAGAGGCCATGTGGTAACAGAGGAAGAGTATGACTCAGTCATACAGGGGTGACAATATCTTGTTTCTGTAGCACCTGCCAACTGAACACCTCAGAGTATTTTACAAATATTCAACAACATAAGTGTCTTTGGACGCCTGCGAGGGATGTGCACATTACTAAATGTTCTGAGGAATAGAGGGACTTGCCCAAGGTCACTCAGCATGTCTGTGGAAGAACTGGACATAGAACTCAGATCTCCCTACTCCCGGCACATTCACTAGAGTATACGTTCTTGCTCTCGCTCTTCAGGATGCATTAAGGTCTAATGGAGAGTACGGTAGGGAGAAGCTTGCCGCCATTTGCTTCAAGTTCTGCCTCACCCCCCCCCCCCACACTTAATACTGTTTACTACTGGGAAAGAAGTTAGTTGTCAAAATACAACAATTTTAAAAATAACGTATAGTAGACATGACAAAAACTAACATTTTCAAGGATTTTTTTTAGTCTAACAAACAACTGGTATTTCTGATGTCTTTGCTAATAAGGAGGTTTTAGAATGCTTGGTGCAGGAGTGGTGAATTGCTCATGGCACTTTCCTGGCCAACAGGCAGCAAGTGGGTGAACAAGGCTTCAAAGAAGTACAAAGCATGAATATGAAAGACCACTCGAGTCTTACATGCAAAAGACTGAAGCATGTAATTATCTCCGCCTGTGTGTTTGTAGAATCGGGACAAGATTGCAAGCCCTTTGGGGCAGTGACTGGATTTTAGAATAACTTTGTACAGCACCAAGCACAATAGGGGCTGAGTCTGGCTGGGGCCTCTAGACAATACTGTAATATCAAAACAATAATATATTGGCTCATTAAAATTCTTAATTAACTATTTTCACTCTATTTCCCTAGCATAGCAAAATAAAGTTGCTTGAAGTGAGTTTTTCAATCCAAGTAACTTTTGAAAGCCTTACTGAAAATATCATCAGAAGTGGAGAGCCAGTCCTTTCTATCTGGCTGGCTGGCTGGCATCCTTCTGATCTTAGAAGCCCTGATAAGAGAAATATAAGGCCTTGAGTATCATCTGAGTACATGGTCCAGTAACTTCTGATTTTGAATCCTGTCTAACACACATTCCCTCTGTAGCTTTAGGCAAATTACTTAACTTGCAGCTTCAGTTTCTACTTGCAAAATACAGATAATACTTACTTTGTGTGGGTGTTGTGAGAATTAATGAATGCTACATAAGTGATTGATCTTAATGCTGGATCAATTCATGTTCTTTAGCTTCTGATTTTGATGTTTTGCAATTATTTTATTGCATTGTAGGATTTTATTTTTTAGCACTAGAAAATGATGTCACCATCTTATCATCACATTAGGACCCCTGAGTTATTTTAAACAGCAAATTACATTTTATTTTTCAGGAACTGAACGCTGTTCATCACGTCGACTATGCAAAAATATAGGTAAGAGCCATTTTTAAAATAACATCTAATATTTCCATAAATTGTCTTAAATTGCAAATATTTTTTTGTATCACAATACGCTGGTTCTTGAAATGGAAACGTGTCCGTCTTTACCATGGACATTGCTGTTCATGCATCTTCCCAAAGGGTTTCCCAGGTCTGTTAGCTACTGACTCCTACAAAAGCCAAACTGGGAGGTACTAGGAGATCTTCAGTCAGGTGTTTTAATTGACTTCTCAAAAATAACTTGAATAATTTTTGCTGCATATGAGGTGATGGCTTCACTTCTCAGGGATTTTTGTGAGCACCTGCGGCCAGAGCGGATGTGGATTTTGGGTGGTGCGAGTGGGCATGGGGTGACATTCCTTCTCCCTACCCCAGCAAGCTTCCATGATAAGAGGAGATATAAACATGTCAATTATTAGGGTCAAACTTAATAGCTATTGCATAGAGGAAGGACGGTTTTGTGAATAAGGCACTGAACCGGGACATAGGAGATTTGTATTCAATTCTACCGCTTTGCAACCTTGGGTAAATCTTTGTGCCTCACTTACCCATCTGTAAAAGAAGAATATGATCATCATCTTCTCCCACTCTTTGTTTTCTTGTCTATTTACATTTTGAACTCTTTAGGGCAGGAACTGTGTCTCTACACAATGCTGGGTTCAATGGGGCCTCTAGGCACTACCATAATACAAATAACTAGCATGCAGGATCTAAACACTAACAGTGACCTACACCAGCTTACTCTGGGTTAGTGCACATATTTGTTCACCAGCATCTTCACAAGCTATTTTACCCCTTGTTTCAACATCTGAATACAGTAACTCCTCACTTAACG